TGGAACAAGGTCATTTTGTAAAAACTCTAAATATCTTTCTCCTGTAAGGGTTCCTTCAAAGAAGAAAGGCCCTACTATTCTGTTGTCAACTATTCCAGCCCACACATTTAATTTCTGTGGGTGTTGGGTATGTGTCTCTGCCATCCAATGAGGATTTTCCCGACTCCAATACCTGCAAGTTTGACGGTTCACTGTACCATTGAGACAAAACGTGGCCTCGTCTGAAAAAAGTATTTGCTGGTGTAAATCTCTAATTTACTTGACATAAATCCATCATAATTTCACAAAAGTGTAAGCGGCGGCGGTCGGGATCGTCTTCATTGAGTTCCTGCACAAGTTGAATCTTGTGGGGATGTTATTTTTCCTTCCTCAGAATACGTAGCACTGTGGTCTGACTAATTTCATTATTTAATGCAACCAATCGTGAAGTATTATGAGAATTATCTACCATACTTATCAAAATGTTCTGTTTGTGACATTCACTAACGCTTGGACGTCCAGGTTTTGGAATGTCTACAACATTGCCAGTTTCTCTAAATTTAGATTCTTTCTTACTGACTGTTGATTGGCTGATGCCGCGATCTGGATGTTTTTCATTAAATAAATCGCAAACATAAAAAACTGCAGGCATTTCGAAAAACTAAACTAATAACGTTTTTGCTTTATTTTAATTGATTTGGGTTTTCTAACATTCAATCGTCATTTACTCGAAAACTTTCCTATGTAAGATGACAACTTTTTAATACTGTCGGATCGACAATAAAACGATCTTCCTGAATCAAGAAAAAAAATAGGGGGTTGCTATTTTAAAAAAATGTCGATGACGTCATTACTCGAAAACAAATGACGGTTGAAAATCGCCTTGTATACTATAATATGTATTTTTTAAATTAAAAATCGACCTGTTCGAGGACTTTTCCCAAAAAAAATTTGTTTCTTTTTTACTGAATTTATTCCATACTTTAGGCGCGTACTGTATAATGATACTATAATTTCTTTGGTTGGCCTATAACTCACTAATGAGTTATAAATCATAAGTCACTAGTGAGTTATGACAACCCTTGGTTACAGACACAATTTAGGTTTGACACTCGCATCCTTTGTAATATTTAAAAATACATTAATTTCGTTAAATTACTTTTTTTGGCATTGACAACATGAAATTTTAAGTTACTTTTATTTATTATTAAAACGAAATTCTATGAATGTGTCGGATAAAATTATGTATAGCACAGTGTCACTTTATTTAATTTTAATTTAATTTTAAATTTATCTTCATCTAACTTTTAAAACTGTTAGACATAAAAAAGGTTATTAAAAACAACGTATGATCTAATTTAAACGTAATTTTTCATCCTCTGGATTTGAATTAGTTGACTAATAAAATTAAAAACATTTTACGATTTATACCATTTAATTGCTCTTATAATTTTCTTTCCGAGAGATTTCCACTCGTTTTGCAAATTTTAACAGAAAACTATCTCTGTATTTTGACGAATGTATCTGTCTTAAGTAAAGTACAGAACATTGCGTAAATGGATTTAAAATATTACTTCTTCAAAAAAAACAGTATCTAACACTTTCTTATAGTATTAACATACTTGTCGTAAACAAAACCATCAACAATTTATGAACCGCAAATTAATATAATTTTTTTGCATATTATCGGTAATGTTTCATATCACTGGAACTATTAAAAGATATGATGCCTCTGGCTTAATCAGGGGATCTTTTATGATTTTGCATATTTCTTTGTTACATCAACTTGTACTTTTTGGGTAGGTTCACTGCATGTATATAAACCAACACTCCAGAATATCAAATCAGTATCTATCCGTAATGAATTTGTTAAGTACTACAGTACTATTATTGCTAAGCATATTTTCTTATGCTAACTCTGAAAGCCATGGTACATCTGTGGTGATGCCAAAAAAAATCGGCAGCGTGTATTTAGTTCCAGTTTTCGTTCCAAATCAGGAAGAATATGTCAATAGCGCTGAACTTCTGGGAAATCCAGATAATTACAGAGAACCTACCCCTTTGCAAAGAGTAGTCCTGGGTTACACTCCCAGAGGAGCTCAGGTAAGTCTGTATTACCTTAAGGCTATGTTTTCTGTTTTAAAGTTCGATTATATTTCACTATTTAGGGTGTCACTTTAGGGAGAAATTGAAAAAACTTTAAGGGCTAAAGTTAAAACATATTTACAAAAATTTTTAAATTCCTTAGATTATGTTAAAATAATGTTTCAAGTTTCTGGTCTCAATAGTATAAGGTAAACAAAAAGTAACTATGAGAAATATGTTAATATTGTTTATCATTGTACGGCACGAATAAATTACAAAAAGAAAAAAAAAGCAGAAAACGTTGAAGGTTAAACTTTGTTTTCGAAGTGTCTGCTATCAGATTGAAAATAATACCATACTGTTTTTTAAAGAAACTACACTCGTTTATTCTCAAAATTATTTCCAATTTGAGTAAATTTTCACTCAAAATCAACACAATACTTTGTAAAGACGGGTCCACACCAATTGTGTTGAAATAATTCGCTTAAAATTCAGCAACAAAATCATTTTAGTGCAAATTTTACACAATGTAGTTTGTAATTTTTTACTGTGTATTCCGTAAATCCCAATTCAAGTTTTTTCATCTCTTTTTTCAGATGATTCGAACAATTTTTATATCCTATTTATTATTTTTTTTATGTCAACGTGACAATCAGATTATTAATTTACCTATTTGAAAAACTAATGTTTCTATTATGCGTTAAAATAATGCACCACTGTGAATATTTGACGGGAGTATTTTTTTCTTACTGTATTTTTAACAACGTTTATGAGATACTTCGTAAATATCAAATTTTGCGAAAAATGCTGATGTCCCAGACCTATCACGCGCTCTGGAACTATATTAAAAATACTGCATTTTGGAGTAAGAATTGAAATTTTTTTTTTCAAATGTTCATTATATTTCCAATTAACAAATTGAGTTTTTTTGTCACCTAAGTTCCTAGTTGGTACATGAAAGTATTTTACTTTTATGTACCAACTAGAACGCCAAAGTTTTTTTCGTTTATTTTGCACTGCATGTAAATTAAATGTGCCGATATTGCAGCGAGTTAAATTTATGCCAGATCCAGTGCTGTCAGTTATCGTAACTTTTAGTTCTGGGTGTTCAATGATGCAGCTGCTGTAATTGTTTAAGTTTACTGCGCACGTATTATTGACAAGTTTATTTGCGATTGAAATTTTATTTTGTATAGAATTTTCTATACCTATATCTCCGCTACCGTACTAGAACGCCACCCTCCATGCCGTTTAATGGTGGTAATATCGGCCCCTGCGTCTGCTAACAGTGTCGGAAGAACGTCTAAAGCAATGCCCTGTATAAGTTTCCGGATGAGGCAAATTGAGAAACTTGCTATTTCCTTTCGCATATTCCTTATTTTTTGACACCAACCACTTGGTTAACATATTTTTTCCTCACATACTTCACAAAAAATCTTCGACTTGTAGTAACTGCCGGACGTAAAGCACAGTATTTGCGGTATATCTTCATTTGGTCTCGACTTGAAATCACAAAACATCTCGAAGTAGAGGTTTTGGAATCGGCAATTCTTATAATAATAATTGAATCTTTAATAGGAGCTCATCTCTTCTCAAAACTCCACAAACAGCAATTATTGTTAAAATGACCTGAAATGTTATGCAAATAACATTAACTTGCATTACCTTTTCCAGTAGACATCGGTAATCAAGTGCTTCTTGTAAAAATCTTTCAATTTCCTCTTTCGTAAGAATTCTGGACTTTTTCGGACGGTATCCAACTGAATTGCTTTTCAAATATGGTATTAGCTTTGGAAATGTTCTGATATTTACATTTTTTAGCATTCAATATACTTTTTAATATAACGCCGAACGTTTAATTTTATTAATTTTATGTTCGAGATATGCCAATAATACCGCTTCGGACACTTTCTGAATTTTCTTCGACCACTTTTGAATTCGTTGCCGACGATTTTTTGAGGATTAATTAATTGTGAAACAGCACTTTGTGCCCCTTTCAATACTTCCCCTGGTAAATGCTCATCTTCACTTTCCGAGCTCAATTTGATTAAGGGGGCGATTTAGTATGTATATTTTTACCATGTAACAGAGCTTCAGATGAGGACACAAATCGTCGAAGAAACTAACATAATTGAATATTATTATATATCAATGTATTCGCAATGGTTCCCGCTAGTGAGTGAAATAAATTTCAATGCTCATGAGAACAGAAGAATAATTTAAATAAATCCCAAAGTACCTCAATTTTAACCATACTGTTAGTCTGACAATATATTGCATTTACGACGGAACTAAGTCAGGCACAATAACCAAACTACTTCACTCACTAGAACGGACACTTAGGATCATTTGTATTTAATTTTCAGATTAATATTTATTAACAATTCTATAATTTGTGTCCTCAAGTAAGATGACAACATTTTACACACGACTCCATGTTTATTCTATACTTAAACCAGAATTTTAGCGGTTTCTATCTTCTACAAGAATTTGTAAATATAATTAGTTTGTATAATCTGTCACAGGTGTCGCTACCCTTGAAAATGAAAGCGAAAACACAGAGTTGGTTTATTGTAAATTGTATTGGCCGAGAAATAGTGAAATTTCTGGCGTTTTTAGGTACTGAAATCTTTAAAAGTAAAACGTGTAGAACAAAAGTAGGGGTAAGCACAAAAATAAAATCCTTGATGTTTTGTTTATTCATGGTTACCGTTTAAATTTACCCAAATAAAATAATAACTAAAAAAAAGCGTTTGCAAAACATGCGTTTGCTATTATCCTAACCCCACATTTTAACAATTATTTTCACGTACTTATAAAAAGTAAACAATTTTATATGTAGGACTAAGCAAGTAAATGTTATAAGAATATTTACATGTGGAATTATATATAAAAAAGATAGTATTTTCGTAGATTTCAGTACCTAAAACCTTAATGGTTTGATCGTTTTTTGCACCTGTTTATTCGTTTTACTGCGGCCGGCGTCTTTGAAAATACTCAGGTGGCATGACATAACATTCCTATTATTTGATAAGCTTTAGATTATTCAGTTATTAAATGTTTGAAATTATTTGTCTTTGCGGAAAACACTATTTACAGAATATGGGACCCATAATGGTCTGATATTATCTTTGATATATAAATATGGGTAATATTTTAAAAGTAGGTAGGTACCTAAGTAATAAGATTTTGTAAAGCTTAAGTAGTACGAAAATATAACGCATAAAAAACCAATAATATGTACTAATTTTTCTTTATTAAGAATAAAGATTAAATTTTACGTACAGGGTGTCCCACATAAAATCGTTATTTATATTGTAGCCTTGGTAGTTTCAAAATAAATTTACAGCTTAAAAATTGGTCTGGCTCAGGTAGATTTCTGTTTCAATCTACAAATCAGTAGCTACTTACCGATAAGAAGGAAACCACTAGTCTAGTCGAGAAGTGAGTTTTTTTTGCGAAAAATAGTTATTGTAATCCTAAAAATATGGTTGTTAGTACATTGGATTCGGAATTAAATTCAGAGAAAGAAGTATTTTTTAATTTATCCGCAATTAAAAATAGCAATTGTTATAAACAAAAAACGAAGAGAAAAAAGGGAGTCTCCGTTTTTTAACTATAACTAAAAAAATATTGAAGATAGCTGAAATTTCAAAAAAGATCCTGAAAGAGGAGAAAATTTCAGCAAAATAAGTCAGGAATTGTAGCTCCATTATTTATAATTTTAATTTGACGTTGAAAATATAGCTCCGCGCGGCGGCGGCGGTTTCCGCGTCGTCGCGTCGCCGCCAAGCAAAGTGTGCAACACAAAATAATTTTTTTATAGTATTCAATATTAATTTAAAAATCTAAATAAATTATAGTGTCATCTAGACACTTGAAGGAACACAGCCCAGTTGGAAAATAATTTTTAACTTGACTTATGTTAAAGTTATTCAATTGTTAATGAACTAATTTTTCGTGGTCCTAATCTTTCATAAAACTTGTTGTAAAACTTTAAATAATGTATCTAAAATTTTTTTTCTTTCTGGGAGGTCTTTTTATATACATAATAAACAAGATTCCGTTGTAAAAGTTTATAAAAGTTTTTTCATTTGTTTATAATGATTTTTTAAAGTTAACAAAAAATGAAAAATCCGGGAAATGTTATAAAAATTTTTTTTTACCAAATGTTTGATTTTACTTGTTTTTCTATTAATATATTGCGTTTATTAACTTAGCTAAAAAAATTTTAACGTTATTTGTTTATAAATTTGTTATAAACAAATGGACAAGTTTAATATTTTTGAAACATTTTTTTGCCATTTTATTGTCTTGGTAAATTAATGATTTTTAAAAACAAAAATTTTTCTTAAATAAATTTTTTAATTGTTTATAATCGATTTTTATATTTATTTGTCATTTAAATTATTTATTAAGAAATCATTTTTTTTTAAATCATCATTTGCTATTATCAATATAATTTAAAAAAAAAAATTTATTCAAATTTTCATTGTTTATTTTATAAACAATTTGTTATAAACAAATTCTGATTTTCATTTTATTTTTTTTTCGTAACTTTAACGAATTATAAATACAGCTATGTGCATCAAAGTGGTAAATAACATTTTTTTCTAATTTTTATTGCATTTTTAAATACTTTATCACATCAAAGCTGAAACGGTCACCTATTTGATAAACTTATAAATTGTTATAATTTCTAAATTATTGATGATACGGTCTTTGACATTCAGGTAGATCTTTTAGATAATTTATTGATCTATAACATGAATTTTTTTACCTGCTTCATATCTACAATGGTTATATTTTTATAAACATTTGTATATAAAAAAATGCATTATCTAATTCTTTAAATGACTAAAACTTTTAAACTATTGAAGTTACGGATTCCACTATTTAAGACAATTTTATAGAGTAACTACTGGACTACTCAATAAAAATTTTTTTATATTTTTTATTCCATTTGTTTACGATGTTTTTTTATTTGTTTAAATTATCACACGATTAAGGGTACATTTTCTGGATTTTCTGTACTTTTTTTCTAACTAATGTCAATATTTTATATTCTTCTTGTTGTTTTCTTCAATTTTGTCTATTTTTAATTAAACACTTAACTTTTGTAAGAGCAGAAACTCAAAATTTTAACCAATTGTGCAGCCTGGAAGATATTTACGGAATACAATGAACTTTTGAGTTATAAAATAAACAATGAAAATTTGAATAATTTTTTTTTTGTAATTATATTGATAATAGCAAATGATGATTTAAAAAAAAATTCTTAATAAATAATTTAAATGACAAATAAATCAAAAAAACGATTATAAACAATTAAAAAATTTATTCAAGAAAAATTTTTGTTTTTAAAAATCATTATTTTACCAAGACAATAAAATAGCAAAAAAATGTTTCAAAAATATTAAACTTGTCCATTTGTTTATAAATTTGTTATAGCTAAGTTAATAAACGCAATATATTAATAGAAAAACAAGTAAAATCAAACATTTGGTAAAAAAAAAATTTATAACATTTCCCGGATTTTTCATTTTTTGTTAACTTTAAAAATCATTATAAACAAATGATAAAACTGTTATAAACTTTTACAACGGAATCTTGTTTATTATGTATATAAAAAGACCTTCGAGAAAGAAAAAAATTTTTAGATACATTATTTAAACTTTTACAACAAATTTTATGAAAGATTAAGTCCACGAAAAATTAGTTCATTAACAATTGAATAACTTTAACAAAAGTCAAGTTAAAAATTATTTTCCAAATTTTCCTGTGTTCCTTCAAGTGTCTAGATGACACTAAAATTTATTTAGATTAGATTTAGGCCCGATTTTTGAAAAAAAACCTAATTCGCCCGGACTACTAGGCTTATTTTATTCATTATTCAATTCTTCAAAAGTCTTCAAAATTTAGAAATAAAAAGTTGTCATTCTGGGAACAATTGTTTATACAAATTTTGACTTTTTTAGTATTTGTAGAATAAGCTTTACAAGTCGATTTTTCAGAGCACTATATTTCATTTTTGCAATAAGTATTTCGTTCTAAAAAAGTTTTTTTTCTGTTCTTCATTAGTATTATTTTTGGTTTTCCATTTAAAAATTAAAGTAAGTAGCAAAAAAAATAGTGTATCTGGCAATTGAATTCAGATCCACTATAACTGCAGGCTAATTATATTTGAAATCGCATTATATTGCTTGGTAATTGTCCAAAACATGACATAAATTTATTTAATTTTAATAAGCAATAGCATAAAATCGATGTAAAATTTCCCTGGGAACACGATGGTGCAATTATTTTTTTGCTACTTGCCGTAGTTTACGAGATATTTGCGAAAAACCTTATTTTTTACGGGTTTTTTGACCTTTTGACCCCTTGCCTGATCACCTAGGTCAAAAATTTTTGCGGATTCGGATTCCTGAGGGTCGAAAACATATTTGCGCCCAGGTTTGATCGACAGAGGAAAAAATGGAGGTTCAGCCTTCATTTCAATGGACTAAATACATACAGTAATATTATATATATATTTTATGCCTATACATATTATTCTCCAAACGCAATTAGTAGCAAGATTCTATATATTTTAGTAATTAAGCAGTGTTTTTAAGTTAATACGACTCGCCAAAGTAAAAAAATAATTCAGGTTAGGTATATATTTTTTTTACTGAAAATAGCAGTTAATTTACATTATCGGATTGTTAATGTGAAAATATAAACATTAGACTGTTGACTATTCCATGTTATACGTGTTTTAAGGTCACTTTTGAAGAAGAAACTACATGTAATTTTAAAAACCGTATTTCTGTTTTTATAATGAAGGAATAGTAATTATAAGATTGTTTAAGCTTATTAACTAAAAATTATTGCCTACTCAATAAAAAAATATTAACATTTGTCAATAAACGTCAAAAAAATAAATGGAACGCTTCAGTTCAAGTTCTGAATTATATAATCGTATCGAATACCACTCCAGCAAACGAAAATATTCGATTATACTAACCTCCTCACTCGACGTATATCATTAAAACACCACTCCAGCTACGCTGTCGTGGTGTTTCGCAGAATACGTCTCGTGACTCGGAAGTATAATCGAATATTTTCTATGCTCTTGTGATATTATAACTGACAATACTTTTTCAAACAACTAATTTTTATTGTTTATCAGGTTGCTATCGTTATGAAAGTCACCGCGTCTAAACCGTCTTGAATTAAACACAGTTCAAACGATTTCAAATATAAATTAAATTATTGTATTCACAATAGGCATGATGACAGTAGCCAAGAATCACTAAAGTTATGTATTTATCTGATAAAATATGATTCATGGATTATAAAAAACCTATTTATTTTTATATTATGAGCGAGATTGATAACATTTTTTATAAAATAAAACTACAAAATACAGCAAACCGCCATGATAGGTTGAACACCAATCAGAGCGAATTACGTCACATCTATGTAAATGTCATTTTGTTTCATTTGTACTTCGACAATATCCGCAGTATTTATCTACGGTTAAATATTTTGTGTTTCCCAACTACCAATTGCTTAGTTTTGTGTTACCAAAACCATAATCAGGAAAAGTTAAGTATTTGAAAAAGTTTCTAGAAGAAGGTAAGAAAAGAAGGCTCAACAATTGCGAGTTAATAAAATATCAAAAACACTATGTTTGTGATCAAAAGTTTATCTATGCATAAATTGGTACTGAAATACAAAGAACATTCCTGCGACACATTTTGAAAAAAACTCGCATTAACTGATCAAGATGACATGAAAGTTGAACAAGAGACGAGACCAACATCAAAGCTATTTTTGGCATGAGTTAAGACATGGCAGTGTGACGGCCTCATGAGCGTTTGAATTTCGTCAGTGCAAAACCAGTGATGCAACTCTGATCGCGTTAATAATGGAAGGAAAAATCTCAGACGCATCGGCCATGAAACGTGATAGAATGTTGAAGGATGAAGTGAGGGAAACTGTAAGTACCAGACTGCAGAAAAAATTAAGAAATGTGGTATAATGCTTTGCAAAAACTATCCCATTATAGCAGGATTGCCTGATGGAATCTCTGAAGACAGTATTATTGAAATTAAGTGTACCACGAATATGAAAACTTTTAAAAATTATGTGCAGTTGGCAGCTACAAATGTATTTAACAGTACTTCAAAAGGATTATTTCGGTATAGCTAATTGCAACTAGAGTACAAATAAAAAAGTACAAATAATTAATGTTACATTTGATGACAACTATGGAAAGATAATTTGTATCCATTATTATACCAAAATACAATTTGAGGGTAAATAAAATGCATACTATTATGGTAACTTTGTATTTTTATTTAACTAATGAATCTTGCAACACAAAGTATTAGCACCTTATGTTTACTGTTGACAAACATAGATGTGACGTCACGTAGACACCATGACACCTGCGACCGTTTTTGCGTGAGTTTAGACTTAAAATTAAAATGTCAATATTTTTCTACTAAACCTTTTGTTTTCTACAAAAATAAGATATTTTTTGGAAATAGCAAATACTTCCGAACATCATAAAACAGTTTTTCAAAATCTGTCATCATGCCTATTGTATTTTAGTGGTTTTTGAAAAAATTGTTTACATCTCGAACAGGAAATGCTTTTGCGTTCGCTCGGCAAAATAACTTCTTTCTAGATACGCGTTCTAGATACAAAAATAACTATTTCGCTTGTCAATTTGCTTTATTGGATGAAACGTATTTTCACCTCTTGTTAAAGATTATACTATTTCTTTCAAAAATTTTAACGACTTTATCTTGATCACGATGCATTTCCGAACCATACCTCATACAAGGTGTCCCACATAAGAAATGACACAGAGTAAATAAACTACAATATTTTGAGAACCCTTACACGCACCTATTCGATGTGGTGTCTATTGCGGTACACGCTATATAAACTTATCTCGTTTTTTTTGCTACTTTAAAGGTGGTATCTCATGGTAGCTATATCAATTATTGAGTAAAAAATATTTTTTATTTCACTAGGTTTGGGCAAAATTATTAAAAATTATATTTTTCTAGTACGCGAACACTGATTTCGAGCAAACGTCGTCTACCCACGAAAGTGTACTTGGTCGTCAAAAAAGGTCTCCTGGTGGTGGACGAGGAGGTGGAGGCGGCGGAGGTGGTGGCGGAGGAAGAGGAGGCTCTGGTTCTTGGAGTCAATCGTCGTCTTCTTCGTCCAGCGGAAGTTGGGGTGGCGGCTCCGGAAGTGGTAGAGGCGGGTAAGTATCTGCTGTATAACCAATTTATCCTAATATTTTTTCTACTACCCTTGTAGCTTTTTCACACTAGTGTACATATTTTACATGTTAGTCTGAAAAACAAATTGTTTATACCTTTATAATAAGTGACGGTGCCAATACTGACATATGTCGTACCAGATGGCACTTGATGTCAGGGCCTTTTTAAATTGTAAATTAATAAAACTAAATTGTTAAATAATGTGCCACTTACGTACTTAATTATTTTTATTAATACTATTTATTCGGAAAAATAATCACAGTGAAACAGTTAACCATAATCTTATTTTATTTTATTTATGTACTTCTTCCTATGAAATACTTCGCGTAAAATAGAATGTTTATAATTTAATTAACAGAAAAAGTGTTGAAACAAATTAGTTTCATAATAATTATTATTTTTTACTCCGGTGGTGATATAAATATTTTTTAAGAGAATGCAAAGGTCGAAACAGAAAATATTAAAACCATTGCAGAAAAATCGTCGCAATCTTAAATATATTTAAATCTGTCACCCTTCTTTAATAATTTACACCCATATAATACTTAGTAATACAAATTTAGTTTATAATAACCTAATAAAACAAGTCATAAAAATTACAACTTGATTTAAATAATAATTATTTTATTTTCAGTGGTGGCGGCAAAGGCAAGGGACATGGAAAATGAAGTTTTTAATGCATTGCTTTATAAAGTATGAACTGGAAAATGTTAATATAAATAAAGCAAGTTCAGTTTCTCAATGATAGTTTAATTTTCCTAAACCCACACGGTTAAATTTTGTAATCACTGTGCGGTAGACAACAATTTTAATCTACATAAAACAACAATGCAGTATCTAACATATTCAGCGTCTTCAGTTTAATCCTAAATTTCTTAAATTTCTTAAATTTCTACAACCCAAAAACTTTACGCAACCGTCATAGTCAGTATAGAACTCAAGCATTTTGTCTTAACATATCTGCAATGATGTCTGTATATTTCAAAAATACAGTGTCCCAGTGTGAGCGTATGTAAAAAAATTTGCCAGAGGGTAGACCAGACCAAATAAGATTAAAAATCTTATAAAATATTTTTCGGAGTTTCTCACTGAGTTATAGGATGTTGTTTGGAAAAAAGTAATAACAACTTTCCGCAATAACTCAAAAACCCTTTGAGGGATTTAAGTAATTTTTGGGTGAAGTGTATAACTATTAAACGTCATTAAAACTACATGGTCCTTATTTCGATCTGACGTCAGTGGCGGCCTAGGCTCACTTGTCCTCAAGGTTATGTCTTCATAACTTTTGCATATCCTAGTTTTATGTAATTTAATTAAGTTTTTCTGAATCTGCAATCAATTCTGAACTGCTCTTGTTTCATAGCTCAAAAATGAACCGTTTTGGAGTAAACTGGGTCTAAAGTATCGACTCCATTCATTCGTAGAAAAATGCCTGTAAAGATTTTATTTGTTATTATCTAGTACGTACCTAACATTATAAAAAACAAAGTTGTTTACAAGCGTACATGTCAAAATTAAATACAGTACTCGAAGTTACCAGAAATTACGTTTACAAAACAACAAGATATTAAGTATTATGGAATTTTCCAATGAATATGCCCATATCGGCATATCATAATATTTGTCTACGGTTTCTGTGATGGAAATTGGCGGCCTCATGAGAATATCTGCGTAGGTTTCCAAACAGAAGACAACCTTCACGGTATTCCAACGAGTTTTCCAAAGAATCCGTGAGACCTAGAGTGTTAAAATTGGAAATACCAGAATAAGAGGTAATTTGGAAGATGCAAACATTTTGGAAGAAAATGTAATAGCTGATGTAGTTGATGATCTTTCCACTAGTGTGCGAAGAATATCAACGCAAGTAGGTATTCCATGAAGAATTTTAAACCGAGGAGAACTGCATCTTACACCTACATAAAGTACAAACTTTGCATCCTAGTGATTCCGAAAAAAAGGGTACAATTTTGCAGGTGGTTATTAGAAAATATCGATAATGACGAAAATTTCCATCAAAAGATATTGTGGAGCGATGAAGCTACCTTTATGAGAAATGGTGTAAATAATTTTAAAAATTTTCATGTCCGGTCCATTTAAAATCCGCATGTGATGCGACCCTCCGCGTTTCAAAGAAGATTCTCCATAAATGTCCTCAAATTATTGTATACCGTTTGAATTAGACAGATAGACGGATTTTAAAATATTGTTGATGGCGACGATGGCGTACTAGATGACGTTCCCTTAGCTTTGCGAAATCAAATGTACCACCAACAAGATGGTCCACCTGCTCATAACGAAAGACAGATATCTGCGTGTCTTGATTTACATCCTCCCAGGTCCCCTGACTCAACCCGCTTGATTTTTTTTTTACTGGGGTCATATGAAGCAACTGGTGTATGCCAAATCCAGTAACACGAGAGACGATTTACTTCAAAAAATTAATACAGCCGCAGAACAAATTCAACAAATAAGATCCACTACTTATTTGTGGAAGGCCGAAATGGGCGATGACTATTAGACGCCTTCATTATAGCCATCTTTCTCTATCGCACGGATTTCTATGACTTACTTTATCGCTCTCACGTAACGGCAGATGGACCATCGGTACTTTCCGACCCTGTATATATTCCCATGTATTTTTTGACGCTGAATCCGATACCGAGCTCAGAAATGCCCTCCACTTCTGGAATTGGCCCCAAGAGTCAAAAATGGCCTCTATAGGGCTTGAAAGATGGATTCCGGGATGAGGCGAGGTTGAAGGTACATTCTAAAGCCAAATCCAGATTTGTGGTCGAAAAGTTTATGGCCAACTGAAATTCCCCGTTTGAGACCGGGAAAATGACCCCTTAGGGGTCGGAAAATCGTGTTTCGGACGTCGCAATCGCAACAGAGGTATTTTTATATACTTTTAAATTCTGGAACTCAGACTGTGCTCGAAAAGTTTATGACCAACTGGAATTCCCCGTTTGGGAACCGGAATTCCAGTTGGCCATAAACTTTTCGAGCACAGTCTGAATTCCAGAATTTAAAAGTACAAAAAAATACCACTGTTGCGATTGCGACGTCCGAAACACGATTTTCCGGCCCCTAATAGTTCAAATTTGTTATTAGCTAAAATGTTGCTGAGCTTCGGTTTGTATACAAATATTCTCCTCATTTATCTTATTTTTAATATTTCTCTCTTTTACTCTAAGGTATTTTATATTTTAATATTTATCCAAACAGATTTTTATTCACATCAGATTAATAAATTACAAGTTTCTGAATTTTACCTGCGTATTGGTTAGATTTACATAATTTTTATTGACAAAAAATTGTTCTAAATATATTTTTTTAATTTAGTTTTGAAACTTACTTACTTACCTGGTAAGTATTTTTGGAGAAGATTAAATATTGTCAGGGAAATTTGTTAAGGACGGAAAAAAGGTAATTAAGTAGATTTCAGACATCTATAATTTAGTTTTTCATTCTCAACATTTTTTTCTCATAGAAAAGTAATTCATTTAAAAAAACAATGCGTTCTACTTAAATTTCTAATTTATACAGTGTGTTGCGATTTAGTTGTGGACCCAAAAGGGACATCACACTTTTACAATATTTCAATTTGAAATATTTTAATTTTTACCAGAATCGGTTTACNATCACGCGCTCTGGAACTATATTAAAAATACTGCATTTTGGAGTAAGAATTGAAAATATTTTTTCAAATGTTCATTATATTTCCAATTAACAAATTGAGTTTTTTTGTCACCTAAGTTCCTAGTTGGTACATGAAAGTATTTTACTTTTATGTACCAACTAGAACGCCAAAGTTTTTTTCGTTTATTTTGCACTGCATGTAAATTAAATGTGCCGATATTGCAGCGAGTTAAATTTATGCCAGATCCAGTGCTGTCAGTTATCGTAACTTTTAGTTCTGGGTGTTCAATGATGCAGCTGCTGTAATTGTTTAAGTTTACTGCGCACGTATTATTGACAAGTTTATTTGCGATTGAAATTTTATTTTGTATAGAATTTTCTATACCTATATCTCCGCTACCGTACTAGAACGCCACCCTCCATGCCGTTTAATGGTGGTAATATCGGCCCCTGCGTCTGCTAACAGTGTCGGAAGAACGTCTAAAGCAATGCCCTGTATAAGTTTCCGGATGAGGCAAATTGAGAAACTTGCTATTTCCTTTCGCATATTCCTTATTTTTTGACACCAACCACTTGGTTAACATATTTTTTCCTCACATACTTCACAAAAAATCTTCGACTTGTAGTAACTGCCGGACGTAAAGCACAGTATTTGCGGTATATCTTCATTTGGTCTCGACTTGAAATCACAAAACATCTCGAAGTAGAGGTTTTGGAATCGGCAATTCTTATAATAATAATTGAATCTTTAATAGGAGCTCATCTCTTCTCAAAACTCCACAAACAGCAATTATTGTTAAAATGACCTGAAATGTTATGCAAATAACATTAACTTGCATTACCTTTTCCAGTAGACATCGGTAATCAAGTGCTTCTTGTAAAAATCTTTCAATTTCCTCTTTCGTAAGAATTCTGGACTTTTTCGGACGGTATCCAACTGAATTGCTTTTCAAATATGGTATTAGCTTTGGAAATGTTCTGATATTTACATTTTTTAGCATTCAATATACTTTTTAATATAACGCCGAACGTTTAATTTTATTAATTTTATGTTCGAGATATGCCAATAATACCGCTTCGGACACTTTCTGAATTTTCTTCGACCACTTTTGAATTCGTTGCCGACGATTTTTTGAGGATTAATTAATTGTGAAACAGCACTTTGTGCCCCTTTCAATACTTCCCCTGGTAAATGCTCATCTTCACTTTCCGAGCTCAATTTGATTAAGGGGGCGAATTAGTATGTATATTTTTACCATGTAACAGAGCTTCAGATGAGGACACAAATCGTCGAAGAAACTAACATAATTGAATATTATTATATATCAATGTATTCGCAATGGTTCCCGCTAGTGAGTGAAATAAATTTCAATGCTCATGAGAACAGAAGAATAATTTAAATAAATGCCAAAGTACCTCAATTTTAACCATACTGTTAGTCTGACAATATANGCCTAGGCTCACTTGTCCTCAAGGTTATGTCTTCATAACTTTTGCATATCCTAGTTTTATGTAATTTAATTAAGTTTTTCTGAATCTGCAATCAATTCTGAACTGCTCTTGTTTCATAGCTCAAAAATGAACCGTTTTGGAGTAAATTGGGTCTACAGTATCGACTCCATTCATTCGTAGAAAAATGCCTGTAAAGATTTTATTTGTTATTATCTAGTACGTACCTAACATTATAAAAAACAAAGTTGTTTACAAGCGTACATGTCAAAATTAAATACAGTACTCGAAGTTACCAGAAATTACGTTTACAAAACAACAAGATATTAAGTATTATGGAATTTTCCAATGAATATGCCCATATCGGCATATCATAATATTTGTCTACGGTTTCTGTGATGGAAATTGGCGGCCTCATGAGAATATCTGCGTAGGTTTCCAAACAGAAGACAACCTTCACGGTATTCCAACGAGTTTTCCAAAGAATCCGTGAGACCTAGAGTGTTAAAATTGGAAATACCAGAATAAGAGGTAATTTGGAAGATGCAAACATTTTGGAAGAAAATGTAATAGCTGATGTAGTTGATGATCTTTCCACTAGTGTGCGAAGAATATCAACGCAAGTAGGTATTCCATGAAGAATTTTAAACCGAG